TAAAGAGCTAATAAATCACTGGACTGAAATTTTAAATGTGAATGATAAAAAGGTAAATACAGCTTCATAACAGTTTTAACAGGATATACTGTATAAGTAAGCTAATAGAACTGAAATTCTGGGAGGGGATGCTTATATTAACATCCTTGTCGGTGAACAAAGAGCAGTTATTCAGACTCAACATTTCCTGAAACCCTAAACTGACAAACAGGACATACCAATCCTCAGGCTTCTTCTTTCAGGCACTTTACAGTCTTCTTAAAAAATAATTTCTGATGATACTGCCCTGTCGAGTCCCAGATCACTAATTTGGTTGGGAACCACTGACATAGAGCCATTATGAATAGACACATTTTTGTGTTTTCATGTAAATGAGCAATTGAAGTTCATAAACTGCCATAAAACCTATTATGACCCTGTTGTGGTATTTAAATTAAGAATAAAGCCAATAATGCCTATGAATTGCCAAATCGAAGTACATGTGCACAATGTGACAATTTATGATATGTTCATATGCTGTTTATCTTATAGTGAGTGGGCATATCTTTCAAAAATATAAATGTTGAGAGAGATGAATGACTGAACATTCCAGATGGCATGATAGAACTATCAATGTAACAGGTATCAAGTTTGCTGATTTAATAACTGACCATTTTAAATTTGTTGTGTTCAGTTTCAATATTTACAGTTCATAATGGTATCTAATTTAATACAAAGAGGTTCTTTGGTAATTCTGCACACATGATTTTAAAAGTTTCTAATTCAAAAGAAACATTTTATCACGATGTAACTTGCAAATCACAACATTATACAATATGAGACTATAACATTATATATTTTAAATGCAAGTATGTGAATCCCATTTTCAGAACCTTGTTATTCTTGTGAACAAAAAAGTATACTTAAAACATACAAACTATTGTCTCTGGTAACTTGGTAGAGCAATGGCTAAATATTTTATAGATAATACAAGAGGAAGAATTTTTCACAGTATGAATTCAAAATGATTTATCTGTACTGTTGGTAAATTAAATTGAAAATTATACAGAACTTTAACATAACGTATTACAATCAAAATAACCATCTAAGTCACTAATATCCTTCGTGTTGATTTCATTATGTTTACAACATGTTTTGGCATTCAAAGTTTCTCATTCATCAGATGAACCTATGTAATACAAGCTGTATGTAATTAGAAGAGGATATTTTCAGTGTTGTGTGCAAAGCAACTGTTGTTCTCCTCCTCTTATGTTAAAAATATACATGATACCAAACATTTAAAACATTAAAACAGGCCACAATTATTTTCTCACTCAAGATAACTGAAACTTCTTTATTTTTTCTAACCTATGCTTTCATCTGACTCATAAGATGTAGTTCAACATTTCCTCATTTTCAGAAGCTGAATTTTGAATGGGATGAAGACACTATAAGAATTATATATCACTCATGTTAATGTGGGGTGAAAAATTGATTTCCCAAATTCTGAACTAGATCTAGGACATTATTTCATAAATTTCTCACTCGCCCAAGTTTGAAAACAAGCAAGCAATGTTATGGGTATTAATGAGTGAATAAATAGTGTGTAGAACTGTTGAGCAAATAGGAATTAGACATTTATTTAGTTTTAAGTTTGTTTTAACAACACATTTCCACAATTAAAAGTATCACCTGATACACTGTCATACAAGTAAACATGATTCACGTTTGTTGCCAATGTGGCTTACTGGCTACATTTGGTGACAAAAACACAGGTGGATTTTCATGCAAAATCCAATGAATATGCTAGCAGATTTGTGATAACTTACATTTGAAATTAATTGGCATAAGTACAAATCTTCATGGGACTTGAATTCATACTGCTTTGTAAAATTCCTTTCGTAGATACATTAGCAAGCATGACTAAATATGCAAGTACAGGAACTTATACAGCTACTAGTAAGCAAACAGATTAATGTGCAAGCTTAATAACAAAATGCATCATGCACAAATATATATAAAAGCTGACTTCCTATAGAAAAATATGTCTTGATATCAGGAATACACACAAATATTTTAAAGAAAATATGGAGACAAATCTTGTAAAACCACCTACTAGGAATGATTAAAATGTAATGTGCCTTCTAGAAAGTAAATCTTGCTTCAAGTACCTTTCATTATTGTTTGTTGAAGTATGAAAAATACCTATCATTGTTAAAAGCTTGAGGTACTGTATGCGAGAGTAAAGTCCCTGTGTCGTATGTGGCCTGAAAGTCACGTGCTGCACTACTAGCTGACCAAAAACTCTACTTGTTCTAAATATATGTAATTCTGTATACCACTGAAATTATAAAACAATAACAAGACAAATAAATGAACATTGATACTACAAACTGCAGAGGAGCAGAAAGCAACAAAGTCATGTGAGAAATATCTTTGTATTAAATACCAATGTTCTCTACTCAGGAATAGGGGGGCCACGCATGCACACATCATAACTTGTCTACCGGGCCACCTTCATTATAAGTATTTACGTAACTCTCATATACGGTAGTACAAACATGAGACCTGAATCAAACAAAATTTTGGTCTGGGTACATTTATACAAATTATGTATTATGCTCAGATTTATGATTAGTCATAAATGCATGGCCTTCACCCGATTGTGGCAAAAACCATGTGCTTATAATGTTACTGTTAATAGTACTAATGCGGAAAATGAACATTCTGAAAAATGTAATCTTTTTAAAAATGATAATAAAGTGAAATTTTAATTTCATGTATTAACTGGTAGTTTGTACAGATCTCAAATTATTATGGGTCCATTTCAAGTATTTTATTTCTATGCATGATAACATTCAGATATACTATACATTTTCCTAACCAGCATTGCATTACTGCACGAGAGCAGTGAAATGTTTTCCACCACTAACATGTTTAGTGTGTATTTTCTACAAGTTCAAACTCAAAAATTTCATTATAGCACACTGCAAAAACTAATTTGTAATTTAATTCTTAAGTGAAAAATTGTGAAAGTACAACAAAATTATTGTTAATGTCTCTGAATTTGCACACTAGGAACAGAACATCAGAATCTGATAAAATTGTTTATTCACAATGAACATAAAACGAAACTACTATAAGAATTTCATACAAAAAATTATATACCAGCAAAATGTGTTCAGCATGTTCCTTTACATTTTCTTCCTACAAATACAAGTTTTCATTAACAGAAGTGTGTTGTCATGTCATATCCTGTGATGATTCTGATTATCAAAATAACATTGTACTGATCTATGTTCAGTTTCTTACTATGTAGCTTATCTGTTGCCATGTTTAAATTATTTTAAGTAAAAGTAAAGTAAAGTTTGTCCCACTATACGCCATGTAGGCGTTTGGGGTGAGTGGAGGTATAGCTCCTCTCTTCCTTGACCTCAGCACTAGATGGGGGTGAGTGGTCAGCATCACGCCCCGGCCGGCTTTACCCCCGGGAAAGGACCCCGGTACCCATTGTAGAGGAGGCTGGGTGGGCCCCAGAGCCGGTCTGGACGCAGAGGCTAGAGGAAAAATCCTCTGCCCTCGTCGGGGATCGAACCCCGGTCGTCCAGCCCGTAGCTAGTCACTATACTGACTGAGCTATCCCGGCTCAAATTATTTTAAGTACTTTACATCTAATTAATTTATTTCTCTTTTTAAATAAAGCTGCAGTTGGAACTTTCAATACAGAATGATCTATTTGTAAGACTGCATGTGATTTAATTCATTATCATTTACAATGTGAGGCCTAAAGCCACCCACACTTGCTGCTGTTCAAATATACCATGTATCTCCATAATACCATTTCATATGCTATCTGCCGCTTCAGTCACTGTTGCTGCATCTGTAGGCAACAAAACAAAATGTATTAGACACACTATACCTAATTAAGTTGGTGCAATATACTGAAGGTTGACCTCTTTTTCCAGAGGAAGGAAATTATTTATATGCTTCAGGCCATTGTTCATCTGTTAATTTATTTTATTTTTGGTTAACAATACTGTCAGCAGGTTAGACTAGACAGCTTTGAATGATAGGATGATGACAAAGGAAGTGGTCATTTGTAAGGTACTATCCCAGCATCTGGAGGAAACTATGATAAACCTCAGTCATTACATAACATGCTGGATTTTTATGGTGAAGAACTGTTGGTCCTCTTGTCCTAAACCCAAGCTGCAGAAAAACCAATTACTGGCTTTGTATGAGTACTTACTTCAGTATATTCACAGCTACTCTACATCTGGAGGCATTCTCTTCCTTCTACATGTGGATGTACCTTGACAAGGGAACCACTATGAAGGAAAGCTACAGGAATGAATTCTTTGCCATTTTAGAAATGCTGTCCATCTTCATCCTGATGCAAAGGCATTCTGAGCTGTAAAAAACCAAATCAAATGTAATATTTCACAAAGTTGTATTTCACCATATATGGTCTGATATCTGCCTCTGCACCTACTACATTGGTTGTAACATCAGATGGCCCCTTCGCTCAAGCGTCCTCATAACTTTATCTAGATCTTCACTATTACTAGCAAGACAGATGGCGATCATCACGTGGAACAACTAATTAATTTACATGCAGTTTAAACCCAATCAATTCACTATGTATTATGTTGTTTACACTTACATCGTGCGGCCTCTGTCCGAAAATTTGTTATTGTCTTTAATTGCATTGGTAGGTGTCAGAGGTCCTCAATCACTCTCTCGCGAGAAAAGAAATCAGCCTCCACGCTTCTTACGCGAAGTGCTTTTTACAATGATGCTTTTAGAGTATGCATTCAGAAATTCCGATGTATTCTGCGTAAGAAGTTGCATTCAGTACCATAGATCACGGTCAGTACACCGCCAAACACAGTTTATACAAAAACATAGCCCTGATTAGAAGTCATGGACCTTCCTCAACGAAATTGGAATGAGTGCTTCTCTTACTGGAGTAGGAATATGAATGCGGATATTCTTTATTGAGTAGTTGGTATCTCGAATCGACCAAACGATCCACAAAACGTTTGAAACAGAATAGCCAATATACGAAAAATATTTCTCTTTAACCCATGGCAAAGAAGTGTAGTAATAGAATACTTTAATCAAACTACATTCCCATCCACAAAGTATAACTACATGCAGTATTACATTTTTTATTCAAATGATCAGTCAAATTTATAATCAGTACCACACATTACTCTCGGTTAACTGCTTGGACCCTAACAATTGCAAAATGTATTAGCCATGAATTTGAACACTTCCGATGAACATCATTCGCATGTTGGACATACTTCTGTCCACAGTGATGTCAAGTAGACTAATAGGTGGATACTATCTTGGAGGAATGTACAGTAGCGGAGCAAGCTTTCAGACAGGTATTCTTCTTCTTCTTCTTCTTCTTCATCTTCTTGGCGCTACAGTTCAAAGTGGAACCCTGGCAGGTATGGTAGCCTTAAATAGCATGCGACTAAGTCCACACAATATTACAACCGAGACGAACACCCTGGACATCTTCACTGTGTGAGAACCTTAAATCTCGTATCCTGCTGTTTTTTAATACTTCATTTTATACTAAATGAACCAAATAAATTTGGGAGTTAAATTAAATCCTTCACACCACAGAAAACGAATATTAAAATTTCCAGTGCTCCTGTTGGAATGCAACTCCAATTACCTTTTTCTACAACAGGTGATAATATATTATACTCTATATAAATGGACTAAAATGGAATTGTTTCTGTCACACTTTTCATACATGTACACCTGTTGTAAAGTACTGATTCCTCATTCAAAGGGAAACTAGTATTATACGGGATGGCTTCTCTAAATAAAATAACAAGAAAAAATTTTAATTGAAAAAGATAGTGTTTGCTGCCAGATCACAGCTGAATGGTTAGTTTCTTCTTTGTATTCAGGAAGACCTGGGTTCAAATCGTGGCCTGGAGACTGTCTTGAGGTTTTTCTCAGCAGGCCATTAATGAAACTAGTTAGGCTTATTAAAGTGTGTTTAAACAGAACCTTTAGTAAAGTCCATATAGGTAACATATGTCTGGCACGTTTCCTATTCAAAATAGTCTAAAACAAGGAGATGCTTTATCACCACTGATTTGCAACTTTGCATTAGAAAGGTCCAAGAAAACCCAGATGGAACTGAAATTAAATGGGACACACCAGCTTCTGGTCTGTGCTGAAGATGGAAATTTATTGAGGGAACACATAAACACCATAAAGAAAATCACAGCTCTAACTGATGCAAGTAAGGAGGTTTGTCTATATTTAAACACAGAGAAAACTAGGTTTATGCTGATGTCTCATCACTAGAATGTACAACATAAAAATAGCTAATGGATCCTTTGAAACTGTGGCAAAGTTCAGATATTTGGGAGTAACAGTAACAAATCAAAATTTAAGATAGAATATACATGACTATAATATTACTTGTATTTTTGCATGGGTGTGAAACTTGGTTTGTGACACTGAGGGAGGAACATAGAGTGGGGATGTTTGAAAATGGTGATGAGGAGAATATGTGGACCTAATTGTAAGAAGGATGAATTACTAGGAGGCAAGTTGCATAATGAGGAGAAGTTTTACTCCTCGCCAAATATAACTGGACGGAACAAGTCAAGGAGGATGAGACGGTCACTTTGCGTAGGCCGCATGGGAGAGAGGAGGAATGCATACAGAGTTTTGGTGGGCAAATCAGAAGGAAAGAGACTGCTGAAAAGACCTAGAGATAGGTGGGAGGATAGTATTAAAATGGATTTTAGAGAAATAGGATGGCATGATATGGGTTGGATTCATCTGTCTCAGGATAGGGGCTAGTGGTGGACTCTAGTGAACACGGTAATGAACCTCCGGGTTCCATAAATTGTTGGGAACTTCTTGAGTGGCTTAGCGACTGTTAAATTCTCAGGAAGGATTCAGCTTCACTGAGTAAGTAAATCAATTAAGAACCTTATACAATAAATGGTCTACAAAATAATATGCACGCTTAATATGAAGGACCGAAAGTTGCTAATTTACCGATGCTTATTCTTTTTAAAGAATTTTTTGCCACTACAACGAATGTTGGCATAAAGAAATTGCTATAATACATATTTATCCATTTAAAGAATATTACAACAGGATGCGAGATCTGGAACATTCACAGCAGTAAAAATTTTGTTTGCATTCTTCTCAGTTATGATGCCATGTAATCTTGTAGGTGATTACTAATGTTTTAGGAGAACTTTGTTGCCTAAAAGATGATGTAGTATCATAACCCAGAAAACCACAATCCATTACACCAATATTCATATTTTAAGTATGTGTGTGTGTGTGGGGGGGGGGATTCCATCCTCCAACAATAAAATATACCAGTCACATGTCTTAAGCTTTGGACTGAACCAGAACTCCCCAAAAATAAGCCACATCATCAATGTGTTCAGTTGTTACAAGTGGTATGAAGACAGGAAGGGATCAAGGTATGTTCTGGACTCCAATTCTGCTGCTGTAACTAAATTATGTACTTCTCAAAAACATGTAAATATACAGTGTTATTAATCATTAAGTGCTTTGTACACAATCATTCCTATACCCAACAAGTTTACACAGCTCTCTAGAGACAATTTCACAGCACTGTATTTACTATGATATAAGTCTACAACAGCTTCTTCTTTCACAGTAAGAGGAACTGAAGATAAGGATGATAACACAGTAAAATCTTGCAACAACAAGATTCCATGATTGTTGAACACTTCTATCCACTTCCCACTTCCATCGCGCACCATCTGCATTGAAACCAAACCACAACAACAAGTCTCTGTGTTGGGCTTCCATGCATGACCAAACACTGTGTCTACTGTTAACAGACAGGAATCTGTTTTGAAACCTGCTGCTGAAAGAAGAGCTATCTGCAGCCATGACACATATGATTCTAGTTGACTTCTAGTGCAGCTGTACCTGTCAAACTCACGTACTGCCTGGAATGAGAAACTGTGCATTAAAATATGTTGGTAAAGAAAACTTGTTTTAGTGAAATTAGCATGTCTACATAGTAGGGTAACCAGGTTTTGAACAGAAAGAGACCAACATGAAAACCCAAAATGAGGCTAATGCAGAACTGGAACAATGCTCATTTCACTTCTTACATTAGTCTGCAATTCAGGAAACAGACTTCAGAGGGCCAAAGAAAAGATGGTGAGATATATTGTGAAAATAGAACAGGCAAATTGCCTTATCCATGGAGTGAATAAGAAGACATTAGGGTCTACATTTACATTAATATCGTAATTTTATGCTGAAAAAACTAGTACTTGGAAGTTGGTTGACAATTATTAATATAATATAATGTTCCCAACTATATGACAATAGAAACTAAAGGTTATTGCTGCTGATACCAAAGTCTGCCACTGGACACTCTTGAGTCAGTTCGTTTACATCTCAGCATCACAATTTATCTCCCCAAGATCCACCCTCGTAACATCTTCCACTTTCCTCAGACTTCCAAGACTTTCAAACAAGTTTCCCCACCAAACTGTATACAGTTCATCTTCCCATCACAGCTACATGTCTGGATCATGGTAACTTCATAGATATCACTACTCTGACTTGTATGAATTATCAAGTTCCTTCTTATGAAATACTATAAGTTGACCACTTGCTTAAAATATTGTGTGTTCAAACATTTTCTTATGCACTTTGTTTCTAGTATTTATGCTTTCAGTTAAAAGTTAGAGACTATAATTCAAATAAGCACAAAACAAGTTGCAAAATTATTACTGATCATGTGTGTGCATGTGCACGTGTATCATTATTAAGTCTTCTGAAAAATTAAAAGACGTAATGACACACACAATAATTTTTCCACATGCCAATGGCATAATAGTTTCCCCCAAATTTAGTATTCTAATTTCATCTATATTTTACCAATGTATAAAAACCAGGGTTTCATGATTTATGATAGTAATTTTACAACTCTTAGAATCAGTTCTAGGTGTACCTGATTCTGCAGTCTGATGGCAAGGGAAGTTTCCAAACACCCTGCTCCAGGCACTACAGCAGGACACACCATTAAACAGCGAAGAGCACTCAGGGATTGCTTTATTACAACCTAAAGCACATAAACCAGTTATTGTAGATATATTAAAAATTATCTATTCTAAGTATAAAATGAGTGATATCTTAACTTATTACACTCAATTTAAAAATCTCATTGATCTGTCAGTTCCATTATTACAATGTATGTAGTGCAAAAGGTGTACGAAACACTAAGAATCAATAATGGGGCCGAAACCAGATGACAATGAGGTTTTCGTTGAGCTTTCACTGGCTAACAGTGTCAAAAGAAAGGCAAGCCCAGCTTCTCAACTTCTAATCGTCCTTGATTACTGACATAAGGACCAAATGTTCAGAGAGAATTAAATTACTTCCCTCCCTTTTTTTAGTAACATGCACACTGAACTTGTCATTTAAATAGAAGGTTCCATAAAAACTGTACTAACTCTTATTCTGAAGACATTCAAATAAATTTTTACACCACCTTTGAAAACAAGACGTTCCAGGTAAACATTTTAAAGTAAACTTTTCAATTGCAGGCTTTCAATCTAGAAAAAAACCTGTGTTATTAATGCATTGCTTAGATAATGTAAATTCATAACACAACATTGAAACAGTTTAGCTTAAAGGATATGCTTTTAATCAGTGTTCAAACTAGAGTTATTCTGCCGACATAAGATAATCATTCGGAAAACAATTAAATAATAAAAACTTTATGACATAAAATATACACGAGACTTTAATTCTGTACTCATACATTGTTTGAACATACACACATTCTCATGCGCATGCATACCCATGCACACTAGTTTTTCACCTTCAGTTCCATGGCAGCCTCCTCGTTAGGTGCATGAGCAATCAGAGTTGATATGTTACTACCAGCTTTCTCCAATGAGACATAGAACTTCTGTCCCTGAACCACCAGTCTTAGTACCTCTATAGTACCAAGTAATGAACGCAGGCAATCTGGATCTCGTGGACAGTGCCCAATGCTAGAAATAGGTGTTGCTCCTGATAATTTCTCCAGTGCATGTGTCAACTCCGTACCCATGCGATCCAATAACAATATTCCTTTTCTCCGCAGGTAAAGATACAGGGTCGGATGCACCAATTTCTGACAAGCAATAATATCAACATCCAACTCTACAATTTGTTCAAATAGTTTTAGTGCCTCATCTACAAAACAAATGTCATCTTGAGGTCCTTCCAATTTAATGCTCCTATTCTCTGAAATTTTTGAATTTCCTTCACCTGTCAGCATGATATTAAACAAGATCAAAGACATAGAGCCATTTTTATTACATTTCTGATGCAAGATTGTTGATATGTCATCATAATTTATCTGGTAAAGAATTCCTGGGAATACATGACTTTTTATTTCAGAGGCTTCGGTACATTCCACAATAACATCTCCCATTGTTTGGCCAGTGGTTTGAAGAAATCCTTTCACAATGTTCAACTGTAAATCTTGGACATCAACTCGTCTTAATCCACATGCTGGTTTTGATGACAGAATAGATTTTACCAATGGTAAAAGTTGCTTAACTGTGCTAAAGTCTACTTTCAGTTTTATACAGCTCAAATCAAATAAGCCTGTCAATATGGAATTCAAGTGTTCTATTATACTAGCTGCTTTGGGAACACGAAGTCCAGTATGATGTGATAAAACTTTTTCTAATAGAGATGTAATTAAAATGCCTGTATACAGGCCATGATCATGATGAGCATTTATTTGTGATTTCATTATCTGATTTACAAACAGACATATTGGGTTTGCCAGTGTAATATTATTTAGTAATCTAGATGATGAAGAAGTGAAGGTTGTATAGCCAGCTCCTGATACAAGGATTTTGATTCCACCTTCTGGTCCAACACATGACAGCAATATTCTGTGAAATGAACGAAGCGTAGAGATGAAGTCAGAGCTGTCTAATGGCTGCAGAACTACAGAAACATTGGTGGATGCCATTTTCTTCAGTTGCTGGTCCTGCGAGGTGTGATACAACTCTTGAGCTCTGTAAGGAAAGCAGTTTTAGTGTCAAGGTGTGCTAGTAAGGAGAGAAGTAATGAATTTCATATCATTGCAAAGGCTGTCCTGAAAGACAAGCATTAAGTATACACAGCTGGAATAATAAATATAAAAAGTACGGAATGTAGTGAAATCAAAAGGGCCCAACCCCTTGTGACATAGTACAAATTCATTTTAAAATTTTAATACCTGGAAAGAACCATGCATTTGATGTACACATGCCACAGGTCATGATTGTGTATCACAGAAGATGATGTACAATGTATGTACTCAACTGTCAAAATTTTGTACCAGGCAAAATCTCATGTGGAATTTGAATATGGCATTCCACTGGGGAAAATTGTGCCCAAAAGTTCACAATTACTGAACATTCAGTTTTGATTCCTCAAACATTTTTCCACCATCCATAAATATCTCAATTGAAATATGTGACTTTATTAGAAAATAATTGTAAATGTGCACATATACTTCTTATTAAGTACAGATACAGGAGATAATTCTGATAAAAACAATTATCTTTTACCATATCAGGTCTCGGTTTTAGATCTGATGTAGTTAAATTTTTGTTATCAACAATTTTTCAGACAAAATATATTTCTTAATCTGTATTATATGAAGATTCTTAAGAACCTAATCAACTTACATTAACTAAAATCTTAACGTTATTCTTCTCTAGACGAGTAACTTTCTCTTAAAGACTGCACCTTCTCTTCTAGTGCATTTTTCAAGTATCGAGCACCCTGCAACAATAAAAGAATTTGGGGTTTCTTACAACATAAATAACCAAAACAAGCTTTTTAATATAAGCTTGGAAGTTTCTATAGATGGTGCATTATAATGTGTAAAACTGCTCTTTTGGCCTACGTCCATTGTCTAAATTAAAACCATTAAAACGTATCGAAATCTGAGCTTTGATTTCGTAATTAAGTTAAAAAAAGGGGGGGGGGAAGAGGACCCCTGGTTGCCTTCCTGTCCAAGCGAGACTTGCTAAACCAGCAGGTCAAAATGATTCTCATGATCGTAGCGATGCTACGTTCACAATCACAAACGGCAGTAGGGTGAGAGAACCTCAAGTCTTACTTCTCCTCGAGGTGTACTTTCGTAGCATTACGACACCAGTAGTATAAACGAAAAGAACACAAGCAGAATGTTGAAAAACTTTTTAGAAACTTACTATAACAATAGGTAATTCTTTCTTTTCTTCTTTCTTCACGAAAACTTCAAAGTCTTGAAGTTTATACCACCCCCAATGTATTACAATTAAAGCTGGAACCATTACAATTGTCACTGCATTTCGAGAGAAAAAAGCTCTGACCTTTCCAGACATTACAACAATTTTAACATCAAAGTTGCATACTGAATACTGGTAAACATTGGTCTATATCACACTTCTCCACCACGGAACACGATAGATCGAACCCAAGCACTAATTAAATTTCAAGGTGACACATGAAATGTCCCTCATATCACTGAACAAAGGAAAATTTTCAAATTTCCGTGAAGTGTTGGCTCATGCCACAGATTGTACCAACATTGCATACTGCAAACCGTCAGAAAACATATTTTTAGACATTTCTTTCCAGTAGTTATAATATATTAATAAAATAATTCATGTTGGGAATAGTGGCAGAATTATTCTCGTATAAACAATTATCAACGCATATGTAAACAGCGTAGACTAGTTTCCGAAAACTCAGGTTAATCATTTTGAGGTGGGTACTCGAATCAGTGTATAGAAAATAATTTATTTGCATTCCATTGACCCTTCATAGGCCTAAGCCAAGGATGTAGAATATACCTTAATATTAATACAATACAGCAGAGTAAAGACAGTTTTAACAGCTTGTTTACAGTTAGGATGTGGGATATGACATAATACCTACAAATACAATTCAGTGGATTAAATACAAACTTTTAACAGCTACTTACATATATATCTGATACAATATAGTATTACAGTAAAGTAATTACATCAAGGAATCAACACCATTATTATATGTAATTATAATAACCAAGAATTAGTAAATTCTTCTGCAGTGTAGGAGTGGGATAAGAGATACTCTTTTAGTGCTGGCTTAAATATTTTTATATAATGATTTAAACTTTTTATGGTAGGATTAATATTACTGAATAACTTAATTGCAATGTAGTAAACTCCTTTTTGATATTTGTTGAGGTTGGCATTTGACACATGACAGTTATGTCTGCTTCTTGTATTTATATTATATACCATACATTTGAATTTAAAATTTTTCCATGTTGGCCACAACAGATTATAATAATGAAAATAAGAAATTGCTGGCTAGTGGGAGAGTATTAAACATCTTAAATAATTCCCTACAAGAGCAGAACCTCTCCTTTTAATGCCTGCATTATTCTACAGATTTCATTTTGGACAAAAAATACTTTTTTCTGTTTTTGTTAATTCGGTGATGAACCTTCAGGTTTGGTAAGCCATCTAGTTAGTTAGTTGAATTCCCCAGAATATTATGCCATTGACATAATGGAATAGAAGTAAGACTAATTTTAAAGATTCTGTTTTCATGACTGGAGCTCATGTCATAGTAAAACATCTTTAACTTAATTTGGGGATAATATATTCAATATGTGTTTTTCAGTTTAAGTTATTGTCAATTTATATCCCAAGAAATTTAGTTGGTTCTATGTCTTCTTTATTATTATACCATATGTTGATATTAACACAAGTTTTGTTGTTTCATGAATTTGTTGTCAAAATTTAATGTGTGTTTGTTGGTTTTAAACAGTTTGTTCAAGCTAGCAAAGACATCATTCATGAAATTTTGAAAGTACTTCATTTCTAAATGTGAAATAGTAACACTAGGATCATCAGTAAAGCTTATAGGTTTAGACTGAGAGCTGATAGTTACAAGCAGATCATTGACATATATGAGGAAAAGCAGAAGACCAAGTATTGAACCATCAAGAAATACATCATTTTTCATTGTAATTTTGTACACAGTATTCTACATTGAAAATCAGTAAATATTTATGTAAATAGCTGTAACAATTATATAATTATATTTGTATTGGTATTTTACATGCACTAAGTGCTGGCATTTATGTTACAACCTGTTCCCTGTCATTAGCTTGTACTATGAAGGATCTAATGAATGTAAATAAATTCAATTCTGTTATTATCTTTGAGAGTAATATCCAGGCTGAAGTTAACACATTTAGTTTGATTCATATGTAATCATATATCCTGATTTCAGAGATCATAATGAAAGACAGTTAAGAATAAAAGTACTTACGATTTTAATGTCGTATATTATAATCCAGTTTTGTTTGTTTTTATGTGACTGCCGAAGAAAATTTAAGATTAAGGGTTCCATAATTTGTACTCTTTTCCAGATATTATTAGGTTCACCAAATCAGGAAATTTGGGATGTGGGTGGGCAAATGAGACATCCGTACAAATTTTGATTAGGAAATCTGATGGGTAGATATCATTTATAATGCCTAGGTGTAGGTGGGAGGCTGATATTAAAATGGATTTTAGGAAAATTGGGTTGGAGGGTATGATTGAATTCATCTGCCTCAGGATAGTAGTACGTTCTTGCAAACATTATAAGCCAGTAGGTTTCATAAAAGAAAGGGAGTTTCTTGATTAACAGAGTGTAGTATTAGCTTCTAAAAAATGACTCTGCTCCATGTAGTTGTCTTAGAAATACTCTGTCATTGTTGACTTTTGAACCTGAATATTTAGATTGTAAGTATTTTGATTTGTTAATCTTGATATGCAAGTTTAAATAATAAGCCCATATTCAATTACCATACTTCAATTTTCTGGAATTATATAACGACAAATAATGTCTATCAGAAAAAGTGATGTGCCTGTTTTGAAGTAATACAATTTATATTTTGGTGGAGTATTGTCAGGAAAGTGTATTTGAAGGAAATAATGAACTGTATACATTTATGGATGTTGGTGTTATGTAAATGGTACAGTATGCACATTGCTGCTTATATAATTGTTATATGCATTACGGTTACTTTGTGCAGAGGTTCTCAACCATTGGGCAGTTGGTTTGTTCCATTATCTGATAAAATGCTAAAAATAAACCTGAGGAACATTATTTGATTTATTATTATTTATAATTGAAAATCACATAACACTTAAGCATTGTGAGCAAGTGCTCACAATATTTAAGTGTTATGTGCGGATTCTTTACATAAACGTTGTTCTTCAGCATGCCCCACAGGTAAAAATCGCACGGGTTTAAGTCTGGGGAACGCGGAGGCCACTGATCGATAACTTGTTCCCCAAACACTTCTCTTAATGCTAACATCGACCGATCAGCTGTGTGAGCTGTAGCATTGTCTTGCATGAAGAAACCATAAGTCTTTTCTTCATCGGTCATTTCTTGGAAAAAGGGTCTAACTATTAAATTTACATAACGTTCACAATTTATCCGCACACTGCAGAAGCGCTTAAAGAAAATATTCGGTAATTTCCCAAGAAGAGCTTCGTCGAGTATTTCGAAACATGTTAACGAGATGTGAAGTTGCCTGCAAGCACAAGTAAGTCACTTTGAACATCTTTTGTAATTTAAGGTAAGAACAATTAATGTAATAACATGTATTAGTGACGAGAAATATTCGTAGTTCGCTATTACTAGCGGCACTGAAACTGATTCGCCGGTCACCCACAGGAAAAATGCGCACAACTCCTGCCCACATCAACAGAGCACCAGCACGACTGCAGCCTCATAAATTGTAGACCCGGTATGTATTAAACCTACAAGTGGAAGCCATATTTGCAATGTTATGTAGAAGTAAACAACACATATGCTGATAAGTTTAAAAAGTAGCATTTTATTCAGATGACAACAATAAAGCTTTTTCTTTCTGAATCAGATATATGCCTATAAATTGCCATGTAAATAAGCAACATGCATAACCCCATCCAAAATTTTGCTGACTGTTATATATTAATATGTAGTTATACAGGTTACTACCATATATGACAGTCTGTAAACATTTTTGATTCATTGAAAAAATAAGAAATTTTCCAGTATACTACTTGGGAAAGGTTACAAACCACTGACTTATTTTGACAGTTTTGAGGTTAATATATTTATGTACAAGTAAACATTAGATATATATATATACATAATGTACATATTAAACAGTACCATCAGTTCCATAAGCTTGGAAATTTGTGAATTATGTTTCCACCCTCGATGTTGTGAACTGTAACTGTATACGGTTGCTAGCAAATATGATAGATCCAATTTATAGCTTTCAAACTTACCCCTGGTTACACACTGGGAAAAACAGATATTCATTGCCTTTAATTTTCTTTATTTTTAACATTGTTCCAGAAGTATATGTTCTTGCCAAGGTTTGTGACAGTGAAGATTTCCGTCTTCTGGGTTATTGCGCTGTGTAGTCTGGTCGATGTTAACCAACGTTTCAGAGGGCGATCGCCCTGATGACGGAGGCAGTATGACCTCTGAAACGTTGGTTAACTTCGACCAGACTACACAGCGCAATAACCCAGAAGACGGAAATCTTCACTGTCACCGCTGTGAAAACCTCAAATCTTACACGTTTGTGACGGTGTTAGTCAAAGGCTATTGTTACATAATATTTTACTTCTTGAATGACCGAGTCAGCTGTGTCCGTATTTTGGTTAATGGAGAGAACTTAGCTGTGTCCCATAGATCAGTTCAGCCCTTTCACTACAAGAAGCAATAAATTTATATTGCAATCATGTCAATATATGGATATTAACTGCTGGTTAGTAGGCACCCTCTTTTAAGAATATGACAAGTTATAAAAGCTGACATCCAGTTGACCAGTTTCACGTTCAATCCAAGGCTCTTTTTCACACTCAGTCTCAGTCTGCTCAGTCCCTTCATTTGTCAACATTAAAACATTTAAATGTAATTTTTTATTGAAAAATTAAAGATGTGTTTAGTTAGAAATTGGGTCGCTCCATTTTTATTCACTCAAGATTTCCAAATGTCATGGACATTGTTATAATATCTTGTGGTCCCCCTTTCATGCTCTCACAGCCCAAAATTGGATGGTTTAGTGTACATTTCTGTAGAGTTTCTGCAGAATTTTGGACTTAATTCATACAACCTGTATTGCATATTATCAAAAAGAAAGCTGACAGTCAATAATTATATGGTAGGAAGATGATCAAAAGTCTGATTTGCCCTTGGATGGCTGAATGATGTCCGGAAGTCAGGACTTGCAGCGTTGCTTGGCAACTGAGGCAGCATCATGGAGCCATTGCTGTAGCTGGAGTTCTGAAACATGAAACAGTTTTTTGGACTGGGGTAATACTCCAGATGGATCTATGACTTCATGTTCCTCATCCTGATAAGATGACAGTAATATTAATTCTATTCAGGAACAACTTGTGGGATCAAGTACAACTCTATACAATAATTTCTCTGCCCATGCTGCTTTATGGATCGGAATGCTAGATTCTACCTATAGACCAGCAAAAATAAGTAAAGCAACAGAGATGTTTCTGTAACCTGTACTGGGATCTAGCAGATTGATGTGGAATGAATGGAGAAACATCTAGTTCCAAAAATATACCATGTTTACTCTCTGAAAGGAAAACAAGACTCAGAAAGATCTATGAAAAGTTGGAGAGATCAGTTCAAGATCACTTCTGAAGTCAGAATGGATGATTACTGGTAAGTATAATCTTTGAAGTAGATGTTGATGATGAAGAAGAAGAAATACCTATGTGACGTGGCTTGTTTTTGTTTTTTCTGACCAGTTTTATTTCAGAATAGTAAAAGAGAAAACCTGGGAATTTATGTTTTCAAGAAGCCATTCTCTTCTGATTTACTTATTGATAACATTGATAGTCCCTTCTTATCTGCTTACCCTTGATCTGTCTCGCAACCGTCGAAGCTTCTCGAATTCTTCTAATTCTGATTCAGGTATTTTGAAATGAAAATTATCAAAGTATGGATGTCTGAGGAGCTGTTCACAAGACCATCTTCTGGCTGGATCCTTGTCAACACATTTCTGCAATGAAACAAATGTAAGATATTTTAATATTAACAAACACTTATAAATTTCCACTGAAGCTTAATGTATAACAAGTCTTTATTTTAGTGCAATGTTGAAAATAAATCTAGGTATTTAAATATATTATAGTTTTTAGTTGGATAATTATATAATCAGTAATTATAGAATTTTATATCTGTAAAACCTGGACAAGATCAGTAATTTTTATGATAATGAAAATATATGAACTTTGTTGATATATACATTATTTGTATGTAATTGGAATACAAAATGGTCTGATGATGACCGGTTAGGTTGAATCATGTCACTGTATTTCTATTATCAACCAACTACAGTAATGTTTTATGGAACAGCTCAGTCGGTAAAATGACTGACTGCAGACTGGACACATGGTTTGGTTCCAGCAGGAGTAGCTAATATTCCATTCAGCACCATGTCCAGTCTCATATTCAATGGGTAATGTGATTCTGTCTCTGGGGCTACAGTGGCTGAAGCCTTAAGGTACAATTTGGCTGCACGCGACAGAGACAAGCGACCGAGGCAGGCGACAGAGTTACGAGACCGAGACTGGTCACTCCTGTCTGCTCTCTGTACAATCGTATGAAGTACAATTACGAGCACAAGACAAAGACAGGCGCCAGAGACAAAGCACAGGAGACCGCTCTCGGACCAGTAGTGTCTCGCGACGGGCTCAGGCAGCACGTGTGTTGTTGAGTAAAATAATGGCAGAAATTAAATTTACTG